GGCACAGGAATTGACTTCTAATGCTCATTTATTTGCCTTCACGTGGAAACGCTGGAATGCCTGGCATACCCGTTTCCGACATGATTCCTATTCCCTACGCAGTGAGGAAGCAAGGTGGATACGAATTGTAATTGCTCGCCATATAGGCCAGAATGTGAAGACCGCCCGAGCCTAAATTCGCAAACCCATGCATGAAATCTGGTGTAGGTGTTTATTTTGTAATGCTTGTGTGCACCTGGCCTTCCAGTTGTTACCAGTGCACTTTTATTACACCTCTACTTAGCATGGGCTGATGGAGAAGGACGAGGTGGGAAGCACATCCATCTTGCATGCTCAAAGATCAGCCATTAAGTATCACCTCAGGAAAATTACACTATCCTCCACCTTCTCTACCATCTGGCTGCCAGGTTTGCACACACACGTCTCATGCTCATGCTCACACGTCCGCACACACGCGCTGGTCAATGAAGACGTCTACATCCAAGTCCTTGTCTCCCTCGCATTTGATTGGGAATGTGACAGGAGCCAGCTAGCTCATGAATATAGGAATGCTAGGTTATTGAATGTGGCGACACTGGTCATGGCAATTGCAGAGGGGTGTGGCAATGGTTAACCCACTTTCCAACAATCCGGGTCCAAATTTCACAGCCTGTCACTCGACGTCTGATAAATATCCAGGAACCAGAAACACGTGGGAGAGCTGGTCATGGAAGTAAATATCCGGATGGAATTGGAATACAACTCGATACCATCTTTGCTTTGCAATATTCTGTCGAAAATTTTCGCAGGTGTCTGTCCATCTGGCATTTCAGTTTTGGTCAAGAATTGTTTGTGAATATTGAGTGGCAAATCGGAATGTATTGGCATTAAACAAATGTGTGATATGAGACCTTCAACGCTACTGAGCACCTTATTACAAGCACGCCCCTAAGACCTCCTCACAGTCACTCCATACTTCAGCGAAATTGTCAGCCAAACGACCACTTTGTGATATGACATTCCAAATTGTCTGCCAAAGCCTAAATTTTAATCCATCGTTAGAGGTACTGCAAAGAATCACTGATAGTACATATTGCCCTTAAAGTAAAGCCATCCTCCTTTATTACCACTTTTATACAACAAGCTAAGTGTAAGACCAAGTTGTGCGGATTCTCGGCTTATTAATATTGGTTTTGAGGTTAAATAGATGGTCAGGGAATGAAAGCCTAGGGGCAAACACTTGGATGGGAACAACATGACATAAACAGTGAACAATTCTAGTTGACTCTCCTACTAACGCCCTTAGCTACCACATAGACATTTAAATTAAGGG